TTCACGAATTTCAAATGGATCAGGAAGCCCTTCTTCAGTCTAATCTGTGTGCCGTATGCGTGCTTTTAGCTTGAAGAAATTCTAAAGTGAAATTTAAGTTCTCTGTTGACAATAAATAAGTTTAGATGGTAACCGCGCAGAGCGAACTCGAAGCAGGTTTTAGACTGTCAAAAACGTAAAGGTCACAGGCAAAAGGAATAAAGCAAGCCCCAGAAATACAAGAAAGCAACGATACCCACAATGGAAGTGAGTGGAAACTGCCGTTGCGACCACCGTCCAAATCTGGAGATGAAAAACAGAATAACTCGGGCGCAATTTGTGAACCGCGTGATTACCTTCATAGATGGTATGCGTATGAAGGTCAAGAATATTTCCCGAAGAGGACGGGCACCTGAAATGGGATCATTGTTCTTCCTCGAGGGGCAGGTGGCTACGTGGTAGCGTTAGTATGTAACGCCGCCACGCAGCTACCTGCATTATGTATGTACATTATGTATGTACCCAAAATGCATCTACGGTTAGTTGTGCATGTACACTTATACATGTGCTTGTGTACATATGTGACTACTTTATTGTTTATATCCGAATATGTTATTATTGTATATACTGTAACACTCTTAATGTTCGCGAACTCTTAATTTTCGCAACTTTTTCGAATGGAAAAATCTTTGTCAACAGGTAGAATACTTTGAAGCGTTAGTGGATCTCCAACGAAATGTTTTGGGTTTTGAGACCGTAAGCATCTTTACCGTACACGAAGTTGGGAGCGTCGCAAGCTCGCAACTTGGATCTATGAAATATTCCCACCCGTGCCCTTATCAACCTGGGCGAGCATTGCATCGGCGCGTGGTCCTCGATCACGACTGCGTAATTCATGCTAAAAACTCCAGATTAGAAGTTGCACAGCGCTGGCGAAATGTCTTATCTACAGTGAAGAAGCGAGACGATTGTGGGGGAAGACTACCCTCCCGTTGTCTACATACAGATAAACACAATTACCTCTTTTTTTTTAATCAAATAGAACAGCTGGCATGCTTTTTCCGTTGGACGATGAGTGGCTCTGGCGTCAAGGCATAAATTATTTTTACCTTGAGAAAATATAACCTCAAGTGTCCGAACCGTTCTTCGTCTGCATTTGATTATTCGTCTCGACATGCACAAGCAAAGAATCATATACACCGTTATGTCCAAAAAGATGGCCCCACAGGGTTGAAACTGGGCGAAAAGGGGAAACAAATCGAAGAAAAATAATTGATTTGACTTCTTTCCTACTCATGCGCACATCAGTTGTCCTTTTTTTATGGCAGTTAATATATAAGGAGAGATTTCAGAGAAAACAGGCGCGTGCCTCAACACCTGATCCGCTATTCGCGCAATTTGATTACATATAGGCTTCACTGTAAATATTCGAAGTGTATTTCTTATTTATGTATTGTCATTTTGCCCAGGTATAATCTTTCTTAGATATGCTTCTTTAGCCCCTATTAATTAAATAAATAAATTCATTTTATGCATTTTTTTTTATTTTTGGCATTTCCGACGTGATAAGCTATAATAATTATCCGTATCGTGGCAGATCTGCGCAACACATCCGATCACTTTCTTTTCATGTTGCAACAATATATAAAACGACGCTTCGTGCATTATAAAACGCCCTTCTTCCATCTATATCAACTGTATAGGTTTCTAATGGAGTTCCGATAATTCTAGGTCTAGACGTTGGCTCGACTGATTTTACGATAGCAACTCACGCGTTGTCTATAATTCATTGGAAGGTTGGCGCGAGGTCATGCGCCAAAGGCCAAGAACTCGCCTTGCGGCCAAAACACCCGAGAAGCTGGGTCACAAATACAAAATATTATAGTGTAAAATTAAAACAAAAAGATAAACAATTATCCGTTATTTTGTCAAACTCACGTAATGTTATCAGTAGAAATATCGACTGATTCTCATTTGCTCCGACTAGTTGTCTATAAATGCTAGACATCGTACAAACCATGTGAATTAATGTTTTTAGCGCGACCTCGAAGGTCTGTGCAGGTGTTTTTGTCGGGGAAACTTGCTAACGCGGTGGGATCAAATGTACACTCGCCGGAGATATGGATAGCTAACGACACGCGATCGGCCTAATATAGTTTACCTTCCCTACAAGGGCTGTCAATCATTGTTGTACGAACAGACTGGACACGTGCCACAAATGAATTATGAAAAATAAAAACCAGAATATGGCAACTTCACTCGAAATAATTAGTACACTAAAAGCTTAGTCGGGATTATTTCTCCCATTGGAGTAAAGTCTGGTTTAGATATTTGCGTCGGTTGCTTTCACGGTAACTTAAACGAAAAACGTGATTCGCAAGCCACATAAAATACCAGCTAAAGAAGTGCCAGCATGAAGCAGTCTCGAGTTGTAACGGTGCGCTCCTGTATTCTTCTATATTTAGTTATTTGTCTGGCGCAAGCGACGTGGCCAACGCTTCTACTTTTATAGTTCCTCGCTACACGGCATACGCAGCACTGTTGTCCCGGGGACTGTGGCTGGTCATTCTGACCTCTCAGTTGATTTGGTCGTACTTGAAGGCATCCGACGGCAGAATAATACTTGAGACCGGACCTTGCACATACTTTGAAATCGCTTGTATCACCCGCCCACTTGAAAACTTCTCGACTTCTTCGATGACGTTGCGTTGAATTACAACAAAATGGTGAGTTGGGCCAGTTGGTTCATAATGGGAAAAGACAAGCGCCGAAAGACTAGGACAAGGTAAGAAGACGACGACACAAGGCGCGTTGAATTACTGCCGGTCTAGAACGACGAGTTTGATCAAAGAAATATTGTAGAATGAATGAGAATGCTAGGCTTATCATCTTTGTTCACGCACTGGTCTAATGACTGATTCACGTGATGCCATTTTGCTTTTGATTTCACAGCGGCGACGTCGGGCACCCCAGCTTCTACAATGCTTTTTTTTTTTTTTGCTTCAAAAGTGACGTCGAGACGGCAAAATCGCAAGTAAAATTGCCCCACGTGAACCAGCCTTTAGCGTTGCCATCTGTACGTCACACCTGAGCTTAAGGTCTATAGCGTCAGGTCGCTACCGGACATCGAATAATTCAAAAATTGCTAGAAAAAATAAAGTAGAAATCGAAAGCTTAGGGGAACGGGAACGCCTGTTTGGGTGCAGCCCAAAACTGTGCTCGCATAGTCCTAATATCGCTGAAAATGCCACAGAGGGTTGTGCCTGAGTATATATAATCCGGCTTCGTGAAGTGAGGTATCACCAAGGCCGAGAAGCTCGCCTCAAATTCGAAATTTAGCGTAATGTCATTGAAGAGCTGTGCACGATGGCATGATATTGGACATATTTAAACGATGCGCTTGGTTTATTTATGTCATGCCAATTTATGGCTTTTGAGTTATATTAATAATCTTAAGGTATCGGTTATCGCTTTTGTTTTTATCTCATCTCCAACTTATCAACCCAAATAACCTTAGCTTGGCGCACTACATCCTTAGTTGCAGCTGCGCCACTAAACTCCAAATCATCCTCATCATCAGCCTCACAAAAATTACAGGAGGACAGATAAGACTGCTTACGGTGTAGGAATGCGAAAGCTTTCGTTCACGCAGCGCATTACTACAAGCAGTGCGCCCCGCTGTCCTCCGCAGAGGACGGCCGAGCCTCTGCGGCCGCGAACGCGCCTCTTCCTGGCGCGCGTGGGCCGCAGCGCCAGGAAGAGCGCTTGTCTGTGGGGTGTCGTTCCTTGGTACTATGACGCGTCGCAGCCAATGAGAATGTATTGCTCGTTTCGCTCGGCTGGAATTCAGCTGCCGTTTTTCGTGGTTACAGACTACGCCGGCTGCGCTCCATGAGACAGTTATTTTTTTCGTATTAATAACCCACCTGCACACATGCTGCCAGGCTGTAAGTATGTAATAGCTTGTTTATATAAGCCTCGCCAGAAAATAAAATATCAAGAATAACCGGATTATGAAAAAAGTGAAAAAAAAAACTGTTTTGTCACTGATATAATTCCGAAACCTATAACCTAGTCAAAGGGACTTGCGCGCAATGGGACATACCAAATTTCATTTATAGCATTCTCAATACATTCGTCGGCAAGGCAGCGCGCGTAAAGAAGTCAAGCGGAAAATGCTGACCCGCTGTGCGCTAGCGTCGCGCAAGCTGACACAGTTGGAAGTAAGAATTAGAGTTTTTTCCCAATGAAGGCAGCTAAGAAGTTCAAATTCAAATTACGTGAGCCGTTAAAAGTCAAAAAGCCAAATGACATCATTTTGTTTCTTTCAAATATAATATGGTAGCGGTCTCAAATGGTTGCCGGCGTGTTCGTAATATGTCCGTCATTTGTCAGATTTCCAGTTATCTTAGCAACCATGTGACTGCCCCACAGCGGTACCGCGTTCATTCGTTAAGAGGCTCCCGCTTTTATCCCGTCACCAGTTCTTTGTTACTTTATTTCTCCAAATCTTATCGCCTTTAATGTGGAAGGTCCAAGTGGAAAATTCCGTGCAAGAAACGATTCTCTATGGACAGTTGCGTTAATGACGAAATGCCAGATTTCGATGTACTTTCTCTACTACTTACATTTTTGGGAGGTGAGGATATAGTCAAGAAATTAATAGCGACCTATCTAAACTACTTGTTTTATGTACACGCATGGTTTACGTCAATACAAGGCTGTATTGACGTAAACCATGCTGTACACTGCTGATAAGCACGCGATGTAGAGGTAGACATCAGCGATATGCTTATCAGCCGTAGACAGATTGACAAAGCGTCGCGATAGCTGGCACAAACGAGAGAGAGCGAAGGTGTCGCAGCAATAACAGTCAACAAAAGAAAGAGTGGGAAAAGAGAGCAGACGCGCAACGGTCGGCCAATGCGGCGACGCACGATAGGAGCTATCGGCGCCACTAAAGCACATGACCTCAGCGGCCAGCAAGGAAAGACTACATAAGCCGGGCCGTGGACCCCGGCACTTCAAACCTCTGTGAGCCAGTTTCGAGTCCCAAACCACATCTCTCCACTGTGACCATGGCGTTTATGATTCCTGCCGTTCGGAACGAGTACGACATCTACCTCAGCCGCAGTCCTCGGAGTTCGGGATCGCCTCCGCCATTTGGTTGGACTGCCAGCAGTGTCGAGGACTACCTCCGGAACCTGAGAGCCTCCCCGGCGGTCTGCCACAATAACAACACCATCAGCCAGAACAACATGAACAACTCCTCGAACAGCAAGGAACAACGACCCGGATCTGCGCCTCGGCGAAAGACCAGCAGGGATATGTCTCACATCCAAGGCAAGCTGGACCACTCGGAGTTGATGCAGAAGCTGAAGAGGTGCAACGAGAGCCATCCTTCGTAGCGGCGCTGGTGCCACCAGCGTTTCTCAGAGTCCTCGCGACTCGTTTCTTCGGCGCCGCGAATGCCTCTGAAAAAGGACGCGGATTGATGCTGAAAAGCTCGAATGTCAACAAGGCTTTCCCGATGGCCTGTCATGACGTCTACGAGACTGTGTGGGAGCTGGAATCCTGGGCCAATTGACAGCTGTCTTGGAGCAAGTGGACTACGATACCATCATTCACTTGCTTGTTCCTCATATGTAACCCTGCAGGAGGCGGCGCTGTCAATGGTGACAACCCGCAAGCCTTTACTCTGTCGAACGATCTGCATCTGGACGACACTATGAAAAATTGGACCAGAATAAAAGGCAAATAATGATATTTTTCTTTTGTGGATGGTTGAATTTCTTGCTTCGTCAGAAAGCGGTACACAGTTTAATGGCAAATATTCTGTCATTTTTTATCTCTAGATAGCAAGTTGTGGTCGCGATGTACAGTCTCCCTGAACACGGAAGACCCATTCGACAGGGCAGTTTATGCAGGGGTTCTAAACACAATTTGGCTAGTAAGACTTCATTACTAAAAAAAAAAAACGGTACAATTTTTTTATTTATTTTTTAATTCCCAGCAATATGGGCCTGTCGAAAAAAAAAATTCAGCACAGCCGCCTAAAACTGCATCATCAATTGGGCCTTTCATGATGATGGAGATGGTATGCGACGCTAAATTCAATTTGACTAAATTAATTCCACTTGAAATTTGACCGTCTGTATACTCGAAAGTTGGTAAGAATTCTTTCTGACATTTCAGAACAAGTGAAAACCGTGCGTGCACAGCTTTGATCGGCGCACAATAGAGTCAGGGGCAGCAAATATTTCTTGTGAAACAAACACCTAGCCCGTTGCTCGAGGAATAAATCTACCACCCTTCCCCAACCACGTTGTGAACGTGCCAGATCAGGAGTGGCATTAGGGCGGGTTGGTGTTCTTTTGGTAGGGCTAGCCAGCTCTCCCAGAAAGTAGGGTGGAGGTTGGGGAAGGGGAGGGGGGCATTTGTTGTAAAGTGGAAGATATGAGTGGTTTCGTGTAAGGAAATTCCCACATCGCGTTTAAGTTCGAAGGAAAGTCTCCGCAGTGCGGGCAAGAAAGGCGTCCGGGCAACCCCTGTATGAAGCGTGTATGGTGCGCGAGCGCACGGGTAGCTTTGACTTTACAGCCCAAAAAGGTTGTTCCTACATATAGCCCTAGTCTATGACAGGATGAGAACGGCAGGGTGTATATTTCCGATGTCCTGCCTCAAGCACGTGCTCGTTGCCTTCCGCCGTGCTCTGGCTGTACGAGCACGCTCGAAGCTCACAGGACGTCGAAGTGTTATCGAAGCTAGGAAGCCCACGTTGGAGGCGGGACAACTGAAGGACTTCCCTGCCGTTCTAACCCTGTCAGTGACTATGCACCGCTACAATGTACAGCCCAGCGCGTGCGTGCTGGAATAGCGTCAAAATGCGAGCAGTGTGCGCCATGGCCCGTGCGCCATAACTCTCAAGATGGCACCTGCTCGAAGCTCTTTAGTGACAAGGTATAGATCAGCTTCATTTGAGGACAACTTTTTATGGCTGCGCGAGCACAGCTTTGATAGACACTTCAGGTGCCCCCGCACACGTGCGCTCATAGCTTCGACTAAAAAAAAATGGGTTGTCTGTATGTTTATAGAGCCTAAAACTTGGTCTGCCTCACAGGGGCGACGAGTCTCCCAGCTGTAGATGAGAAATTTAGCCAGTGCGGTACAACCGCTAGGCTGGGTCTTTAACCTCTTCTTTTCTCGTAGGGTTTGAAAATAATGCTTTGGGTCCTCGCCGCTGCAAAAACTGTGCGCTGAATACCAGATTTCGCGAGAAATGCTCTGTGCTACCAGATCCTCGCGCTCCAAATCTGCGACTGGGCACTCTATGGCTCCGTCATCGAACTGCCAGGCTTTGTGAGTATAGAGGAGGCTATGCCCCAGGTTATAGTGCGCAAGTATTGATTTTTACTTATTGCCGAGTTTTACCAGGGCGGAAGACAGGAATAACCAACACCGACAAGTTCCAAGCACGCGCAGCGTGCGTGCAAAATGTACCGTTGGCAGGCTTGCAATCTCTCCGTGTTCGTGAAGTAGACACGAGCGATTTCAAGCCTGCCAAAGCTATTAGCGGCGAGAAGTTAAGGTGGTGCCCTCCTACGGTTCCCCCTTGTGACGTCATTACCTTGCAAACAACAAGTTCGATGGTGTTTGTAAATAGCATGGTGGAAGCTTGAAATTATTGCGTTCTCAAAGGAACACTGCCAACACCGTTAAAATTAAAGTTCTTTCATTCCTCTTATTTCCGTCGATGATAAATCCTTTTCCGACGTCAGAGTCAGCGTTTGGCCAATCGTGGAAGGCCGACCACAGCGACGCTTTCGGTCGCGCTCGTCGCCAATCCCTTCGGGTACATGTTGCACGTACTTGAGGTTTGTCGGTGTCGGTTGTTTTTGTTTACTTTAGTAGGGCTCGACATAATTCCCTAGTTCCACCGGTATACTAGTAAATTCTTAGACAACTGGCAAAAACAGAGCAAGATAGTGGGGCTCTACAACATTGCATCCAGAAAGAAACCACCGATTTTTTTACCTTTGCGCTCCAGAGGCAGTAGTGGGTGCAATGACATTATATTATTTGCTCTGAAATACTTTGAAGGACACGACCTCTCCTGAGTGGAAATAGAGACCTTAGTGCTATAAGTATATGTATTTATTCGAGGTAACTAGTGTTTATCAAGAACTAACATCTAAACGCAGAGGTCGAAAGACGCCAAGTTTCCAGATCTGGTCTGTTCGAAATAAGTAATGGTTTCCTATGTACATAACTTATTGCCGGACATGACTTTTACATTGCTATTTACGTGTATTTATTTATTTGTTTCACAACAGATAAGAGCTTAGATTCACTAATTATAGAGGGCTTTCACCATGCCTGATGATCTAACGCCACCATCGAAACTTAACGTTGCACTGAAAAAAACGGTTGTGATCAGAAAGCCTAAATACAGTAATAATGGTTCACATGGATGGAGTTAAACTTCATATGCGAAATAAACATCTATCGCAACAGCTTTGTTATCTGATGTTAGCTCGCACCCCAGCTCGCACGATGGCCACGTTGATCAGTTTGATGCTGCGGAATGTTTATTCTCCACTGCATTAAAAAGATCGTTCGAAACGAAACGGATAGCCGCCCAACCAATTGAGTACTGTTATCGCGACGTTTTGTTGTGGAAATCAGGCATTCGTATCACGCCTTGACACTTTTTCATTGTTCTTCACTCTCGATTGCACTGTGACCGTCTGGTTTGAAACGGTGTGTGCACATTCAGGTCTGCGAGCGCCACGTGGCTGCCAAGAAGATGCGTGTGATGCGTGTGATGCGCGTGATGCGGAGGTGGGAGCCTGCACACTTTGTATTGGGACTGCTTGAATGTCGACAGTCATTAAGAAACTATGCATGCAATCAAAAGAAAACCACATCCTCAGATGCTAAAATATGGTATTGAGACGAAAGAAGATGTGCCGGGTCCATACCGGTACAAAGTACAAAACGTAAGCATGTTGAAAGGTGGTAAAGTCTAATCATGTTGAACGAAGCAAAATAGCGCTAAGGTTACAATAGGAACTAAGAATGAAACATCGCGAACGACACGAGAAACCCTAAATTATGCGTTTACTGTCGTCAAGCGTTGGAATATGTATTCATTGTTTCATGGGTTGGTTTTTATCACCCTAGTGGAGTTGTTATATGAGAATGGTTAATTGCACTTTGGCTTTAAGTAGCAAAGTAACGATACACGAGCAAACATGTACCAAACAGAAAGACAAGTAAAAAGCAAAAAGAGAACAACTACCACCTCGAAAATATTCATAAATAGTTGTTCAGGGCGGGTGTTAAATCTGTTGCTAGCGGAAATAAATACGTCCCACAGTGCAGCCCTTGAGCATGATACTTTACACACACTTGAACTTGAATTGAATCGAACTTTATATTCAGCAACATTAAGCCGAGGACACGGACAAAAAACTACCAAGAGCTAGCTTGACTGGGTCCGGTGCCCCTGCACGCACAGGGGATGCATGATATAAAAACAATTATAATTAAACATTTCTAAAAATTACACAAAACAGCTCAACACATTTCATACAAATTCCTTTCAAAACAACTGAAAACATTCCTATAAAATACCCCCAAACATTGTATTTACCTGAACAGAACAAAGAAGTCAGCGATGTTTTTTTTTGTTTTATAATGAATATCAACGGCGGTTTATGTGAATGTTGTTAAGCAGTGTAGGTAGGTTATGAGCAAGAGACTGCAGTTCATAATTTGTACAGAAATGAGAAATGTGTCAGAATTCTTTGTGACGAACATTGATGACTGATTCACGTTTAGGCAGCTTTGCTAGATACCCCCAAAAAAAACCAATAAATTTCAAAATTGGAAAGGCGTAAACAAAAAAAAAAAAAAAACGATAGTCATAAACACTTCCATCGCATGAAACCATCCAAGAAAACAAAGAATCAAGAGAAAAACGTTGGCGATAAGTCATAGACCAATTTAGGTCAGGCTCACGATCGGTATTTTGTTTCTGTTTCTCCGGGTGTTATTGTTATGGTCTTAGTGCAGTTGCACCACCGACAATAATGGTTTGTTTGAAGAAGGCAAATAAGAGCAGGGTCGAGTGCTCGTCCCGTGACTTCACACCGGCATTCTTCTTTTGTTTTTAGGGCTTTCTCGTGTTCCACCTTATCCGTGCACTCGCGCACAACCGGGAGCGTGACCAGTGACTGCAGCTATCTACCGCGGGCGTTATCAGAGCCAATAAACACGGAATCGCAAAGGCTTACAATGAAAGGAGACTGCGATATTGACGGAGCACGCATGTTGCACGTGAAATCCTGCGCAATAGCCTTTTGTTTTCTGCCGTCAAAGCTGAACACCATACCCGTGCTGGTAAACATAAACTAGAAGTCGACACCTCGAGGTTACGTGTTACTGTACTGATAGAGGCTTGAGCCAGTCTATGGTCTGCTCTAAAGACCTATTCACACATTTTCCATAGCGCTGCCTCAGCGTCATTATTCAGGGATGGAAATAGCGCTGACTATGCTGACGCAGCGTTGATTTCGCTCTGTATCAGTGATGCAACGCTGAGACAGCGCTGCTCGAATGCTAACGTCGCGTTCAAGTCACCACGGTATAAGCGCTTTTCCTAACGCTGATTTAGCGCTGCGTTGTATGTGTGAGCCGGCCTTAAAGGGACATCGACAGGGCATTTATGCTCGCCGAGGTTTTCATTTGAACATGGCCTACAAGAGCCCAAT